TATGATTTATAAGCTGTTTTCCTCATGGGGCCCAAAAAAAATGTCCTCACAAGGTCAAAATATACTGCTATTACTATCCTCGTTTGGTCCCCATAATGTGGGAATACCAGGTACACACACACACACACACACACACACACCGACGGTCCAGAAAACATGAGAAAATTCACTGACGTTTCATTTTCACCATATTAACTTCAGAAATGCATTGTATTATGTAAATGATTAAAGTATAAAAGACAAACAAGATTATTTAAATAATTAGATACATTCGCCTACCTTGTTCTCCTCCAGAAACTTGAGTTTGACCGAGACGTCGATGCGCATCTTTTCGTATTTTTCGCGGTGGATCTGGAAATGTTGCTGAGACTGCTCGATTTTTGGGAGCGTGTTGGCATCCCGCGGACCCAGATTGAGCTCCTCTAAATCTGTGCGATACGCGTCATACTCAATCCTACCGAAAGAGCACAGATCTTAGAGAATGAGGGTTGTTTTGATCAATACATTAATATAAAAGTAGTACACAGTGGCTTGCGACGATCTATCCAGACCTTGCTGCTTCATATTGCTTAATGTTGATCAAGGTGTCCTCTATAGTTTTATCCACTAGAGTTTTAACACTGGAGATGAAGAAGTTGATAGCTCCAAATAGAGTTTCTCCATTTTTCGCCAGGAGCTTTTGGGTTTCAGCATTGTAGCCGAATTCCTCCTGAAACACATCAATAAATAGAGATTGCATCTATATTTGCAGCTACTAAAATAACCCAGAAATAGATACTGCAATGAGACTTTATGCCGTCTGCAAATAAATGAATTCAAATGAAATGTTACTCCCCGAGGGACCAGTGCACTTTCTGGATAGAGTCCAGTCATAAAGTATTTAGTATTCATGGTGGAAACATCAATACCAAAAGTGTACCCTAAACAGTCCATGAATAAATGATACTGTATGGAAGGCATCCAGTTATTGTGTCAGAATTGCAATATTATTTATCAATGAAAGAGCTGAGAATCCATATATGCCACGCAGACATATCTGTGAGTGAAATATTACAGTATTCAATCCAATGCCAGAATTATGATATTTTGCACACCCTGCTGTTCCAAAAGTTTGGGATCAGGAAGATTTAAAAGAAGTCTCTTATGCTCATCGTCATCAAGGCTGCATTTATTTGATCAAAAATACAGAAAAAACACTAAAATTGTGAAATATTATTACAATTTAAAATATCTGCTTTCTATTTGAATATCTGTTAAACTGTAATTTATTTCTGTGATCAAAGCTGTATTTTCAGCATCATTATGCCAGTTTTCAGTGTCACATTATCTTCAGAAATCATAATAAAATGCTGATTTATTATCAGTGTTGAAAACAGTTTTTGCTGCTTAAGTTTTTTTTCTTTGATGATCATCAAAATAACAATTTCAATAAATAATAAATAAATAGAAATGTTTTGTAACAATATAGACTTCCATTCAAAAGTTTGGGGTCAGTAAATTCTTTCTTTCTTTTCTTTAAAAAAAAAAAAAAGAAATTAAGACTTTTATTCAGCAAGGATGTGTTAAACTGATAAAAAGTGATAGTGAAAACCTAAGTTTGACAACCAGAAAGTGTGTACTGTTTTGTTTAACAATATTGTTTTGCCATTAAAAACCTAAAAAAAAAAATATATATATATGTAGGATTTTTGTGAGATCGTTGGTTCTCAGAATATTGATACGAAGCGTGAAAACAGTTAAAATGTGTGTGCATCCTTTATAACCCCATTTAAAATTTATACTGGAAAAAAAAAAGCATAAGATGCTTAATATCCATTTTTAAAAACGGACTCTGATGACATTTCGTTTAAAATCAAGAGGCTTTGGCTGATGCAACATTACAGAGAAGAGTTCTTTATATAGTTTTTATACTTGCATGTAGCTCGGGTGTTTTGAGACTAAGGTCTGCAAACGCGTCGCCCAGCTGTCTCTGCGTCTGCAGCATCTGCACCAGCTGAGAGCAAAGCGTCTGCGCCAGCTTGATAACATGCTCGTACTTTCGTTTGTTGTCATGAAGAACCTCAATCTGAGCCTCCAGCTGCAGATCAACCGTACGAGAGCCGCGTCCTAACTTCTCTGACAGAATCTGCTTAGTGCACTGCGGCGAGAGGAACAGTACAAGATACAAAATCTGTTAAAGGGACAGTTCACCCAAAAATGAAAATGTGATGTTTGTTTACTCACCCTCAGCCCAATCAAGAGGTGACTTTTTTTCTTTAGTAGAACAGTAAAGATTTTTTGGTCTTGGTGATTCATAAAATGTAAGTCAGCAGCTGCACATCTTTGAGAATAAAAAAATCATATCAAGGGACACAAAATTAATAGCCGTGGCTCCTGACGATATACTGAGGTCTTATGAAGCGAAATGATCAGTCTGTGCAAGAAACTGAGCATCATTTACTACATTATTACCTGTGATCCAGAGCCTCAGGCAAACGGGGAAATCTGTGAACGAATCATTCGGTTCTTTTTAGAGAACTAGCTGAATCAGTTCACCAAATCAGACCGAAGTGTCTCGAGCAGCACAGATCTACAAGTCACTCAATCAAAACTCACTTTCAGACGACTGGAAATGAGCCGAAATAGCGGCGTATCTGATTCTCTGATGAATGAACTGATTCAGCTCCAGTTCTTGAACCAGTTCACTGAAACAAACGGTCTGAAAGAACCAGTTCGTGGAAAAGAATAATATTGATAGAAAGGCTCTGGATCACAGGTAATAATGTTGTAAATAATATTCAGTTTCTTGTACAGACTGATCGTTTCGCATCATAAGACTATATCAAAAATATATCATCAGGAGCCACGACTATTAATTTTGTGTTCCTTGATAAGCTTTTTTTATTCTCAAAAGACGTGCAGCTGCTGACTTACATTTTATGAATCACCAAGAAAAAAGTCACCTACCTCTTGGATGGCCTAAGTGTGAGTTAATTAACAGCTCATTTTAATTTTTTGGGTGAACTATCCCTTTAACAAAACGGGCAAACATTGAAAATAAGAAATATTTACAGGGCTACAAAAGATTTAAAGGGGCACAGAGGATATATAGAACCCCGTCTCTTTTGTGACAGCAATATTATAGAGAAGACATGAAATGATGGGGAGAATATTCAAAGGGATCATGACTGAGAAATGTCACACGCTGGACTAAACTAGTATTGCACATGCATGATAAAGCTAAACAGACTTTTCTGACACATGGATGCTTGAGACATTTTGAGGGAACACAGATATCATCATAACCACTACGACAGGAATCACTCACTTTATACGTGTTGACGCTCCACTTCCTCATCAGCTCCAGCTTCTCTATAGCAGGACTCTTTATGTCATCAGCGAGGACCACTGCTCCTGCCGTCTGCTGCTCTGTCAAAGCACCTGATGACAGAATGACATCCATTATATCAATATCATCCCTCTAATCTTACTGAGACGCACTGGCATAAACTATCAAGACTCAAATACGTCATCTGATGTGATCAAATGATGATGATTGGCTAAATCAAGTCAATCAATATTAACATCCAAGATAATTCTGTGTTTGACAAATCACATCGGTTTCTACTGATCAAAAACATGGTTGTTATTGGTCTTGTTATGGTTAACTAAAACAAACTCAACTAAGCATGTTACAACGATTTCTGAATGATCATGTGACACTGAAAACTGGAGTAATGGCTGCTAAAAAAGCTTTGCCATCACAGAAATAAATAGCATTTTAATATGCATTAAATATTTTGAATTGACAATTTAAATTTGTACCAATGTTTCACAATATTATTGTTTTTACTGCAATTTTAAACAAATAAACTCCAGAATTTTGCTCCAAGATATACTGGTAGGGGCATGTGATATTCATCCTCTACAATAATATGTTAATTGTTGTTTTAACGATGTGCGAGCTGACATTATGGAGTATGCCACTCAAAAAACAAACAGAAACACGTCTTGAGAGTCCAGAAGCATTTACTGCGTGATGAAGCAGTCAGAATGACCTGTAATTCAAGTTATGAAAGCAACAAAATATTCATAAGATACGATATAGTTGAGTAATATCACACTAGCAACAGTTCCGTTTTCCTGAATATCAGCGTATGAGCGCGATCGCAAATGTGATTAACTTTATATAACAGTTCAACAAACATGAAGTTAATATTGAGTGAGTTACACTTTAGACACAATAGTGTTTTTTCTGTTTCGCCAGTGAAAAAGTTAGAGCAGAACATTTGTGCGTCTCAGAGCAACACTGCAGTGATTCGTTCCTGAATTAATCTGTTTTTGAATGAATCACTTGAGTCAGTGTTTCAATGATCCGTTCATTTTAGTTTCTAAATGAATCAGGCGTTTTGAACAAATTGTTTGAATAAATGATTCAATGATCCATTCATAAAGACAGTCACCTGCTTAGTTTCTAAATGAATCAGGTGTTTTGAATGAATCGTTTTGAATGAATGATTCAGTGAATCGCTCATTAATACAGGGACTTGCTGCCACCTACTGGCGGTTTTAGTGTCATATTTACTTATTCACCCCAAAAATACTGAGATATCATTTTTTGTCAGTATGAATGAAGGAGATATAGAGGAATAATAAAAAGGGGTGGTCAGCAATTACACCAAACTAATGACAGGTTGCCATGTTTCCGTCCTAATTAATTCACACAGTAGACGAGGATGAAATAATGAAAGGGGAAGTAGACAGGGGAAAAAAAAGATCACAGACAACTCTGTAATGAGACAGGAACACCTTTCTTTTCAAATTCAAATTGTCCCTGTCTCTGCAACACACTCAACTGTGGTTCACATTACAAGCACTGGACAGCGAGAGGATATTCTAAACACTACTAACCTAAAAACAACCCACTCTAACCTGATCTCATTTATTACAATGAAAGGAAGTGTTTTAAATGATAAACCTTTTACCATTGATTCTGAGCAAACTGCGAATCTCTATGTAATCTTATGTAAACGCATTTGTTTGTGCATCAACTGTAGCACACTGAGTCATTGCATGTGTTTGTGTGAAGGACAAAAGCAAATGATAGTCATGTTCAATGCATACTTAGTGTTATACCTGTGTACGGCCCCACTTGGACCACTCCCTCATTCACTGCATAGTTTTCAGGTGAATTGTGGGAGTGTGATGTGATTGGTCCAGAGAAGACATTATGTGGCACATCCTTGACAGAAATCAAACAGGGAGAACAAGAATAAAAATGAAAGATTTCACAAAGCAGTGTACTATGTTTTCTTCTTAGTTTTAGCTGTCAGTCATTAATTTCAAAAAAGCGTTAAGGAACATTAGGCACCAGGAATATTATCCGTTTTAAATCTAAACACTGAAAACTCAGGGTTAATGTTCTTATTATTTATGAGGTCAATAACGTCAATTTGACAATACAACCCATAACGGGCATATTATTGGTGAAAACGTGGCCAAGTAAAACTGCAGTGTGTGTTTGAAGTCACCTTAAGTGTACAAATGTGACCCCGGAGCACAAAACAAGTCATAAGGGTCAATTTTTCAAAATTGAGATTAACACATTATATGAAAGCTGAATGAATAATATTTCCATTGATGTGTGGTTTGTTAGGATCGGACAATATTTGAAAATCTGGAATCTGAGGGTGCAAAAAAATCTAAATATTGAGAAAATCATCTTTAAAGTTGTTCAAATGAAGTTCTTAGCAATGCATATTACTAATCAAAATTAAGTTTTGATATATTTACGGTAGGAAATTTACTAAATATCTTCATGGAACATGATCTTTACTTAATATCCTAATGATTTTTGGCATAAAAGAAAAATCTATAATTGTGACCCATACAATGTATTGTTGGCTATTGCTACAAATATCCCCCAGCGATTCTCAACACTGCTTTTGTGCTGCAGGGACACAAATGCATATAAACATATTACAGCGTCTCTTCTTGACTAGAAAAGTTTTTTCCCCTCGGACACTGAAACTAAATACAGCGTGTTTGTGAAAGTTTCTGTGACTGTACAAAGTTCATGAATATTTAATGAGGTAAGCACTAATTAATTTATGATTGGTCGGCTGTTGCTAAACAACTCGCCTGTCATTCTAGCGCCATTGTTTCACATTGTACACATCTGGCGACACCAAACGCATGTATAATCAAGGGTTAAAAGAGGTGCTAGACATCATTCACAACTATTTGTGTGAAACATTGCTTTAACCAGGTACTTTTAGATATGCCCGGCGATTCAAGGTGTCTAGTTCTTCTGTTTAATGTGATGAAAGTCCTCACTCAAGACAATTTCCTCACAAGTTTAAAAAAAGACTACTACTAAGGGGTGTGCGATACGATAATATCGTAATTGTTGTTTTAATCAGAGCCGCATTAGCATTGACTGCGTGATGAAGTCTATTAGAATGCAGTCAGAATGATCATATAATTCAAGTTACGAAGCCAACAAAATATCCCTGTGTGGGTTTTTATTTGATAAGATTTGATATAGTTAAGTAACAATAGTCAATAACTAACCATATAATAGTCTGTCTATTCGTATCAATAATTAGGAACATTACTGCTGCAGTCATAAGACCTTATGTCATTGTCATTATGTGTCATTGGTACATTATACTTAGGAAACATTGATATCCAAACATTCTGTGTTCAAATGGCACCATTGATAGTTGAGGTCTGTTCAGGACAAGAGCGGTTTAGAAACAGTGGAAGCGGTGCATGATGGGAGGTTTGTTCTCTGTAGGATGTCTTACCGTTTGAAACACTTCCTCGTGACTCTTGTCTGCTTCTCCGTTTCTGGTGACTGAGATTTGAGCAACCGGGTTTCTGTGGGCCTCCTCTGCCATAGCCACCTTCAACACACACACACACACACACACACAGAGACACACACAGAGACACACAGACAGACACAGACACAGACACAGACGCACACACACACAGACACAGACAGACACGCACACAGACACAGACACAGACGCACACACACACAGACACAGACAGACACGCACACAGACACAGACACAGACGCACACACACACACACACACAGACGCACACACACACACACACACAGACACACACACAGAGACACACAGACAGACACAGACACAGACACAGACACAGACGCACACACACACAGACACACACAGACGCACACAGACACACACAGACGCACACACACACACACACACACACACACACACACACAGACGCACACACACAGACACACACACACACACACACAGACACACACACACACACACACAGAGACACACACACACACACACACACACACACAGACACAATAACTAGGAGAACTAGGACAAAAACAGCGTTAAAGCTAGAGTTCAGATGCAGAGCGCTACCTCCACCAGAAAGCTTTGCACAACCGCAGCTCATCAGGGCTCATGAAGGGTTAACTGCAGCACCACAAGCAAAGAAAATTAAGGTGTAAAAACCCCCAAACCGATCAGGTCAGCTGCTGCTGTAGAATAATTATTTAAAATCAACAGGGAAACAGAACAAGCAGTTAATCAAAAAGTACAACAGAGACACACACACAGACACAATAACTAGGAGAACTAGGACAAAAACAGCGTTAAAGCTAGAGTTCAGATGCAGAGCGCTACCTCCACCAGAAAGCTTTGCACAACCGCAGCTCATCAGGGCTCATGAAGGGTTAACTGCAGCACCACAAGCAAAGAAAATTAAGGTGTAAAAACCCCCAAACCGATCAGGTCAGCTGCTGCTGTAGAATAATTATTTAAAATCAACAGGGAAACAGAACAAGCAGTTAATCAAAAAGTACAAGGTACAGCAATAATAGCCAAGTCTGACTACACTGCCATCTGGTGATCATTTTGATCAGTTTGGGGCTGATACACACATTTTCATATACACTAGCGTTCAAATTTTTTTTTTAAAGAAATGCTATACTTTTATTCAGCAAGGATGCATTAAATTTATTAAAATAAACAGCAAATGCATTTTGTTAAAAGAGATATTCATTTCAAATAAACGCTGTGGTTTTTAACTTCTTATTTAAGGAATCCTATAAAAAACAACAACAAAAACAAAAAAACAAATCTGCATAGACTATTAGCATGATTTCTGAGTAATGGTGCTGAAAACTGCCATAAGTTTCACATTTAAAATAATACATACATTTAACTACATCAATAATGAATTTAAAATATATAAAATAGAAAAGTTATTTTATATTGTAATAATATGTCATTATATTAATGTTTTACTGCATTTCTATCAAATAAATGCAACCCTACGAGCATAAGAAGCTTCTTTTAAAGAAAAACAAAGTCGTAACGATCCCAAACTTTTGAATGGTAGTGTATTATATTTTATCCTATATGCTGGAATATAATAAAATGCCATTTTAATAAATACAAACATATTTTTACAAAACAGTACAGTATATGTTGCCTTTCTTTCCAGCTGACACTACCCATAATGTTCAATATAACTGGTGTATAACATATAGTCTTGACAAAAGAATAAATGTAATTAGGGCTAAATCTGACCTATTATTTTAATAAATATAAACCTACAAAATGTCTGAGTAATACATGCAGTAATGCTGTAAAAGTCACCACCAGAGCGTCCTCAATTTGTCTAATTTAATCTAATAATGAATGAAAAGTGGACATGCACAGATTCACCCATGGTTTGATGAACAAAACACAACACTGTGCAAGAAAAAGGCTGCTTTATCTCAACAATTCAGCTCCTACCTCCCTTTAAATGAAAAGCTGAAAAAAATAATAATATCAGACTTTGGGCTCATTGTAAGGTAAAAACAGGAAAAAATTATTCAAACCGCACTTAACTCTATACAATGACAAAAGTGAACGTGAGAGGGAGAGCGAGCGAAAACTCATTAATGAGATGAAGCACACGTGACATTGCATCAGAAAGTTGTGTGCCAAATGGCTAAGAAGATTGCTGATGAGCCTTTAATTAGTTTTAATGACACATTAGTGCATTAGTTTTAATGACACAACCAAAGCTAGGCTTCTATTTACACTCGCTCACTTCATTAACTTTTACTGAAAGACGCATGAAAAAAGAGAAATATCCAATCACTCAAATTGGACACGATGCAGGAGGGTTACACTGTGGAAAGATGAAGATCTATAACCAATAACAGATCAATAGTGAAGTATTAGTAGTAGTTATTTATTTTTATTGCCATGGCAGCATCTAAGGCTATTTTCATGGCAAAAACGGAGTGTGGATAACGTAAGAGTTACAAAATAAAAACCAAGCAAACACAAAAAACAGCAGTTAAAATAAATTAATTGTATTTATTTTTTATTAAATTTAAAAAAAAAAAGTTTTTTGGTTAAATTAACACATGATAAAGAAAAACAAAAACAATCTAAAATATTTTCTGGTAAAATCTTGCTAAACAAGTCCCTGAGTGAATATGTTTAATGGAAAGGGGGGTCTTGCAGAACATGCATAGAGTTGGGTCTTCACCTTTAAGCAGATAAAATAGTGAATATTAGTGTAAAAAAAAACTGACAATGTACAGCCCACTGGTAGGTTTCTACTGTAAATGCATTACTGTTATACGTTATGGCTGATGACTGATAATAATTTCTATATTGCTTCTATACTATGTTGCATAAAAATAAATGAAAAATAAAACAAATGTAAAAGTTTGGATAGTTCTATTATGATTTTAAGACAAAGATCTGCTAACAGTGTTGATAAGAGTAACTTTAAATGAGTGCTACATAACAGCAAAGCTAAAAACAGGTGAAAATGAGCATTCGCAATTTAATATCCAATATACTGATATATTAGAGTTCCATCACTATACAACAAACATCAATAAATCCAAAAGTGCCTACTTCAGTTACATATGCAAATGAAAGCAAGGTTTGTTGTCACTATTTGGTATCAGGTTGCAATTTAAGCAAAATAACAGCTTACTTCAAGGTGGTTTAATTTCACGGTGCCCTTGCATGTGGTTTAATATGTAACTACAAGAACGGCTATTAAGGTTTGTGTTCTGCTGCGAGGCTCAGTGATTTGAATCTTCAAGACAGGAGGCTTGTTTGTCTGGCCGGTGAAAACAGCACACAGTGCATGAATCTTTCAGAGCCACCTGAAGCCATCGTGCCAGGAGGTCAGTGACTCTAAACTCTCTCAGACGAATCACATGAGCGATTCAAATCTGGATAGATCTGGCATCGCATTCGGTTTCACGTGAGTCCGTTTGTGCTCCAGTGACGGCCAAGCATTATCTTTTGCAGGCACAACTCAAAAATCCCCTATTTCACAGTGTCACAGTTTGTCAGCATGCAACAGATTTGATGATTAAAGCAGCGTTTATGAACAGCGCCTCTGTCACGCGCAGCAGAAGAGTCCCCTAGAGTTCAGTCGATTAGAGATGTTAACAAAGAGAGCAACGGCAATCTGTTCAGACAGAGCCCTTATCACCATCTCCTCATGAAAGCCACATAAGTCTAATAAATGCTCAAGGAAAATGAAAGATGGGTCTCTTAAGCAAACCTCTTAGTTATCAGAAGAAAGACTTTTAACAAGATAAAGCATCAAATAAACATGTTCTTTATCAGGACAGGCTGTAGAACGGTTTGAATCATACTTGTATATAAAAGTGCAGAGTTTTTTTTCACTGTCACTTTGTTATTGACAGGAACTTAGCGTGTGGTTGCTATTGTAAAAAGTAAAAAAAAACATAGTTGGTAATAGAAGTGTGCTGTTGTCCAATGCTTCATCTAAAATTACAAAATAATTAAACTATGTTTAAATTATTGGTATACAGTAGGCTACATAGAGTTTTTGTGCCATATTAATAGAAAGATTGCATGGAGTATTTGTACTTCAAAAAATATTATTTGATGAAAAAACCTCGTTGGCTAGAAAAAAAAAAAGAGTGACATAAAAATACACTATATACTAAAAACGTTTGTTCACCAAACTAATCATCTGCTTTAGAAAGAAATGTTCACACTTCTCTGCTAGGATTCCACTGTTGCATTAAGAGGATTATTAATAAGTTGAGATAATCACTGATATATAATTACTTATAATTGAAAATAAATGTTATGGCTGATGACCAATAAATGGTTACGTTATTAAAATTATGAAAAAACAGTTGCAGCAAATAAAAATGTACAATGTAAAATTAATCACATAACTACAATGCACAACAACGACAAGTCTGCAAACTAAAAAGCACAAAAAAGTAAAATATTTAAATGCAATAATAACAGCGACAGCCAAGCAAAATGTACCAGAACAGGCTAAAGATATGCACCACCACCTGCACAGAGAACCTCACGAAGACATGGAAAGAGAGAGATATGATTCATAATTCATTCAGGTAGAGGTCTAGCTCTTCTAAATTCACAGAAAATGATAACATATTGCTACTGTGACGAACAAATCAAATCAAATTTGAAACTATGTACAAGCATACAAATCTGAATATTTACAGAGTGCCACAAAAGTTTGGATATTATCTTGAGATGCTTTCCACCAACTAACTGCACAATAAAATACAATTGAATCAACATTGCTGTATAACGGTGCAGTACAGAGAAACGCTTCTCTGTGGTTTTACCAGCATGTGACAGTACTCTGGGTATTCATACGGCAAAACAAAAGAAAACAGCACACAACTCTGCGAGCATAACAAGACACAGACCAGTACAACATTATTAAAATAACTGACACAGAAAGGAAATAAACCAATACTATATCAAACTGCTGATAATTGTAATTTAAAGGACACAATATAGAAACAGTGCAGTAATTAGGCTCAAGTAGAAAGAAACCATGAATTTGTTAGTCTGGGGAGAAATGAAAACATTCACATTTACATACAGGCTAATGTTACATGGGATATTTTTAAACGT